GGTTGGATCCTCCGCAACAGCAGCGTCGGCGAGAGTGTATAGGAGGCTCTCAGCTTTGGTAAAAAGTGCTTGGAAATCGACGGAAGAATCAAGTGAAGTAATCGGAGGGATTTCGTTGAAGCTTAGACGGATTCCGGTGGAGGCAAGTCTAGAGTTAGTATAGAGGCCACCATGGCGAAAGCTTTTTGATGATGGAAGTGGGGTGCCGATGAACGGATGTGATGAAATTAGAGCCCTCGCCATGGATTTTGCTTGATGAAAGATTCTTTTGACAAGCAAAAGAGTTTTTTTTTTCAGGGAGTCATGAGTAGGGGAGAAACTGAGATGAGATGAGGTTATGGCAGAGACTTTTTTTTTTTTGTTGAAAATTGTCCTTGTTTTTATGGTTCGTAACCTCCCGATTCCTGTGCGCGGTGGATTTCACAGCCAATAAGGTTATTCCACGTCATTATGCCATTGAATTTGGGAATAAAAAATGGCACATATCGGCATGGCGTATGGGTTTGAATTTGATTACCTTCTAACCGGACTGCTTTGGACGTTTTTTGAACTAACACTCCATTTCCAATTGGGTTCTAGAAAAACAAATAAATTAAAATTCGACCCTAAATCTAAAAGACTTAGAACCCCAAAAATCTAGACGACTTGAAACCAATAGGGCAGTCCAAAATGTGTATATAACGGTTCAGCCCAATGAATGGCTGTATGGCATGCTTGGGTCACTCTCAACCATCTTAGGCCTGCCGTCGCTAACAATAACTAAACACCAACCATCGTTATACATCTATACTACCAAATACGGTAAAATTGATCCAATAGGTTACACGGATAAAAAACTTGGCCTAGACCATATCTAAAATTAATTTACGATCCACGGTAAATGTTACAGTGTAAGATAAACTCATTATATCCACTTGACGAGTTTATCCAAATAATAATTTTTTATTTAAACTCATCATGTCGAGATGATAAATTCAAAAAAAATACAATTTATTTATTAAAATTTTCTCATATCACAGTGAAATTTTTCAATAAAATAATATATTTTATTGAAACTCGTTATGCTCACGTGACGAATTTTAAATCACTATATCAAATATAATTTCTAAAATAAAATATATAATATCATATTAAATTAAATAAATAAATAACTCGCCTACGATATTGAGCTAAAACAAATACATCATTGTTGCTTCGAACATTCCATTAATAACAATTGAAGGAAACCGAGAGGCAAACACCATAAGTCATTTTACCTTATTCGAAGGGAATAAAATATTATTACTCCATATAACTTACAAGTGAATTCAATGAAATAATCCAAATTTAGGAGCCATTAGTTCTATAAAAGATGCTTCCAAAATCATTACCATTTCACAGTTCTTTTTTAAATGCCTCGGCGTACCAAACCCGGGGGCCCTTTAAGGCTTGCACTTTCGCCGTATTCGCCCCATAAAGGAGTAAAATTTTGATGCTTAGCCAATCGGTCGTTTTCGGAGCTTACTTAGATGATTAGACCTGTACAGTTTTCGCATTGATCCATCAGTTTTCGATGTTGTTGGCAATGGTCCCTTGTGCACTCTGATATCCAACCCATATGGGCCATGTTTATAATTTCAGTTCGGCATCAATCGACGTCGAGTTCAATACCCTTTCAGGTGGGTCTTAAATCCTTAACAATGGGTCACACGGGTGGATCTATCCATCAAGTCCCCCATAGGGGTGGGAATAGGTCAGGCCGATCTACAGGGGTTTACGGCCTGAACTATTTAATAAAAAGGTCAGGCTCAGGTTTTTTTTAAAAGTATATTAATTTAAATAGGTCAGGCTTTGAGTTATTATTAAGTCTTATAAGCATAATAGGCCAGCCTATTTAGAGTGACTACTTTGTAAAATGCGCCTAAGTTAGAGTGACTTAATATAGACTTTACTCTAAAATTAATGACTAAACTGAAAATATTTGACTAAACTATAGGGTCTAGAAGGTAATTAAGCCTAAATCTAATATATAAACCTAAAACTAAACAAACCCCCTTTTCCCATTTCTTTCTCTCTTCAATCTCTCCCCCTCCAATCATCTCTCACGAGCGGGTCTCCCTACCATTGTTTCATTCATTTTTTATTATATATCCATTACAAACATAAATAAATATCAACAAAATGGAGCATGGACGTCTGGGCGTCAGCAACATTTGATGGTGTGCTAGTGCAGACGTCGGGAACATCAAGGTATGGTGCTGACTTTGGGTACTATGCAGATAGGTATGTGGGACAAAAATTAGTGGTTAAAATACTTATATTATTTTTTTGGGTACCAATATATATGTGTCCAACTAAATTAACGTTAGATTAAAAATTAAACCAAATTATATATTAAGGGTTTGTTTAACATATTATAGAATGTGTGTTATTTTTTTTAGTAAAAATAACTATCAAATGAATATTAAATGTTTATTGTGAAACATGTTTTTAAACAGGCTAAGCCGAGCCAAAATAAAAGCCTTTGACATGCTAAAGGCCAGGCCGAGCCTACAAAATTCATCGTAGGCCAGACTCATGCCTATTAAAACATGACCTGGCCTTGTCTATTCCCACCCCTAGTCCCCCACTTCGGTTAGGTTCGAATAAGCTAGATTTTTTTAATGAAAAAAAAAGAAAACCTAAACTAATAGATCAACCTTTTATCTGCAAGAAAAGCATACCAGGATATTTGGTCATATAATCTGCCGTTTGGTCATATTTGGATCAAAATATGCAAAGGAACTCATTCAATTGTTCTGCTGATTCAATTCGGATTAGTTGATCAATAGATTAAAATTATATAAAAAAAATGAATGTATTCAAATAAAATATGAAATCAAGGTATAGATTTGCGTAAAAAAAAAAGGAAAAGTGGACAGAAAAGACAGTTAACGGTAGATTCTCTTAAGGCTCAATATCTTTAGTTCACATCTTCCCATCAAAACCCAAAGCTAGATTCTCATGGATGACCTTTTGCCACTCTCTTGAAATTCAGTTAAAGATTACTTGCAGGCAAAAAGGTCATAAAAGTAGAGTGATTAAATTGTGTGAAGTTAAAGTAAAAAAACAAAGGCTTAATATCAAAATAAGTGCCTAAACTATATAATTATTCTCAAATAGTGCCTAAATTATTTTTTTACTAATCCAAATGTCTAATGTTACAAATGTTACCCATTTAGGTGCACAGGCCTTCAACGACGTTAATTTTCCTGTTAAGTGACACGTATTATAATCTGATAATTTTAGAAATTTATTTTTTAAAATAAAAATAATTTATTTTTAAAAACCCCAATTTTTTCTAAATATAAAAAAACCTCAAACTCTTAAAATTTCTTATTCTAATCTCATTTACTCCAACCACCAGTCATCTTCGGCCACCCATTCGCTGGCGACTGGCCACCCATATTTCATCGACCACTAGGGATGGGCATGGGACCCGACTCGAAGGGTTTTGACCTAACCCGATCGGGTCAAATGTTTTTTTTTAATTTGGGTTCGAGTTTGGGGTCGTGATGTGTCAAGTTTTTTAAGGTTATGTTCGAGTATGGTCAAGTTTGGTTTTAGGGTAAAAAATATCCTACTCTAACTGAACCGAAAAATTATAATTTTACCTTATATATTTAGGGATAATTGCAATAATACACCTCTATATATTATTTTATTTCAATTAAATTCTTATTTTACTGAATAAAAATAATATTTTTAATAAATATATTATTTTAGGTCAGGTCGGGTCGGGTGGAGGATTTATAATTTTCAGGTCGGGTGGATAAAAAATCCCCATGCCCATCCTTACCGACCACCCGTCACAACTCTTACTATCATCTCAAAACCCTAAGTTCTCAAATCCCTAAATTTAAATTTCTAATCTCTAAAATCTCAAATGCTCATTCCCTCAAATTCGATTGTGATAATTGGTCATTTCGTTGACCATGGAAGCCAACCATTTGATCGACTATTTGATCGGTCGTTGTACCTTTGGTCGTTTGGCCATGGAAAGAGGGAGCAAGGGAGGGAAAAGGGGCACACAGGGGAAAGGTTTGGGATTTTTTAATGATATTTTTATTTTTTTTAAAAAAATTAAAATTCTAATATGGTGACAAGTGTCACTTAAAAGAGTTTTATAATAGCCGTTACGATCGAGGCACTTAACGGGTAACGTTTGTAATGTTAGGTACTTGAATGAGTAAAAATATAGTTTATGCACCTATTTGAGAATAACGGTATAGTTTGAGCACTAATTTTGGTATTAAACCAAAAACAAATAAATCTATCATCCGAGTATTACAGAGGGACCAAAACTATAATTTGACCCTTCTCTTCGTTTTAATAACTTTACTTCCTATGTGAGCGGCATTCTCCAAGCAATTACCATTTTCACAGACTCCAAAACACACATTTGGCAGACCCGCAATCATATATTTTACTTTTCTTTGCTCTCTTTTCAACGCTCTTTGTTTTGACTAGGAGTGTAAACGAATTCTCCACTCGACTCGAAAATTCTGAAATGAAGTTCAATTTAAAAACTCGTAAGTTTAAAAGTTTCAAGTTCAACTTGAACTCGAAATTCTAAACTGAAGCTCATGAGCAGCTCGAAAAGACTCGAAATGAAGAAATTTTTTTCTTAAACTTAACTCGATTGAAGCCTCAAACTCAAACTCGAACCTAAACTTTAAATACATGAAAATCTTACTGTATTTTTTATAAAAAAAAAATCAATACATAAATGTTAATATTATTAATAATTTATTTTAAAAAATAAAATTTTAATATATTATGTTTTCGAGCTGCTCACGAGCTTTTCGAGTCGAATATCAAGTAGCTCGTTTCGACTCGTTAAGAACTCGAGTCCATTCGATATGAGTTTTTATCGTGCCTTGATCGAGTCGATCGAGTAGCTCGCGATATGTATCCTCTCCTTTACAGACCTAGTTTTGACTATTCAATTTGCCTTCGGTTTTCAATTTCCACAAAATATAATTTCGCTTTCATTTTTTTTGTTTCCATTGGCAGTAAGCCTAAACAACTTTTGTGGTGTTCCTTTGTTTGCTTTGAGATTTTGAACTTAAAGGGTAAGTTTTGTATCTGAAGTAAGCTTTTTCCTCAGATTCCTAGTGGCGTTTGTTTTAGGCAAATTTGTACATTGCCCCCTTTATTCTTCACCACAAGGAATATTAACTTGTGAATGCAGTAAAAGTGAAGCTTATCCAAGGGTTCTTTCTTTATTTCATAGTAGTTTCCTTTAGAAATACGAGCTTTGTGATTTAAAGGCCTTTTTTTAATCTGACAAACTTTTTTTCCACTTTTGGTACTGAATTTCAAGCAAAATCCAAGATTTTATGTACCCAGGAGATGTGAATTTCAAGCAAGATGACATCTTTCAGTGGATTAGGGATTGGTTTAAGCTTGGTTTTTGGTTGTCTTTTATTAGCTCTTGTTGCTGAGCTTTACTACTTGCTTTGGTGGAAGAAGAGATTAATTGGAAGCTCACAAGTTGAAGATGATTACACCAAATACGCAAAGGAACTCATTCAGCTGTTCTGCTGGAAGAAATCTGCTTCTCTGCACGCATCCTCCAATACCAACAACATTCAAGATTTGGTCAAAGACCAAGCCATTAATGGCGTTGTTGAGCCAGATTTGGAACTCGGGTCAAGCAAGGATTTGCTGCTGAAGGGCTATGGCGAAGAGGGTATCGAATCAGAGCTCATGAGACTTCACAATCTGGCCGGCCCACCTAGATTCCTCTTCACAATCAAGGAGGAAACCGAGGAAGATCTTGACTCGGAAGATGGCCGGTCTAGAGGCGACAAAAGCAGAAAGGGTTCAAGAACAAGGAGCTTGAGTGATCTTATTTTAACCATCGACACTCCAATGGCTTCTCCTCAACCAACCAAATCACCTCCCTTAAACCCTTTAGGTTCTTATCACCGCCAGGGATTCAACCCTCTCTTTGAATCATCAACAGATGCCGAGCTAAATAAGCTGAGATCTTCACCTCCACCAAAGTTCAAGTTCCTAAGAGACGCAGAAGAGAAACTCTTGAGAAGATTGATGCTTGAAGCCGAGAAAAAGTACATAGAAATGGAGGTTCTCTTCAAGGTGAGAATATGCAAGGGTCTTTCTTAAAATTCATTATCGATAAGAACATGGAACCTCTCCAATGTTTACCGCAGTACCCTTCGAGTTCTTCTCAGGTGCCATTGCCTTCTTCTAATACAACATTCAGACCACCAGACAAGACAGACAGTATGCGTTAGATTCACTAAAAAAAATATGTAATTGATGATGGAATTTTGCGAGTGAATTTGTGACGAAATTTAATTTTATTAACGGAATTTTTTAGGGAATAGAGTGGTTAGTAAAATATTGGTCGAAACCAATATTTTCGAGGGAAGAAAGTAACCCGTTAAAAGTTTACTGACGGAAATCCGTCAGTATATTATTGGCGGAAAATTTAAATTCTGTCGGAATGTTATATATAAATTATATTTTATATTTTATATTTCCGACGAACATATCTTTTCCGTTGGGATATTTAAAAATATAAAAAGAAAATCTGAATTTTTAATTTCCGATGGATTACATATTTTCCTTCGAAAATTTAAATCTTACTTTTTAAAAAATGAGAGAAAATTTATTGGGATTCTGAAAAATTTTCTTTCCTTCCAAAATATTATGAATCCAAATTTTTATTTAATTAGTTAATTTGCCGAAAATTAATAATAATACAATTAAAATAGTTACATTAATTTAAAAAAAGGATAATAATAATAATAATAATAATAATAATAATAATAATAATAATAATAATAATAATACTAACAATTCCTTAATAAGAAAATAATAATAAATAATGAAAAATTAAATTCAGCATATTAACTAAGATTAAATATGGATTTACAACATATATTTCACAATTTAATATTTCTAATAAATATAAATATATGATTGTAAACTATACATAAAAAATATAATATTCAATAAAAAAAGAGAGTAAAATACAAAGTTTGTATACTTAAGAATTGTTATCATTTAAAAATTTTCAAGCAAACTACAAAATATAATGAAAGATGTTAATAATTAATTAAAAATAATATAATAAACAAAGTATATATTGAAAGAAATTACATTGAACAAAAACTAAAACTTACATCAATATTGATAATAATGATAATAAAAAAAATGATGAAATTAAGAGAAGAACATTTAAGGAGAAAAATGAGTTAATAAGAAGAGATGAAATGAGAAGAAAGAAATGAGAGAGAAATGAGTGTAGAAAGGTTTAAATAGGAAAAAATTAGGTAAAAAAGTGGATAAATTTAAAATTTTATGGTACAATGGAGGGAAATTGAAGGAAGTGGAAGCGGGTAAAAAAAAACTCCAAAAATTGTGACGGAACATGTATACTCGTCACAATTTTGTGATGGAATAGGTGGATATGTCAGAAATTTGTGACGGTTTCACAAATTTCGTCACAAATTTAAAATATTTTTTTTCTAAAAATTGAATTTTTTATGTGACAGAACATACAAATTTGTGACGGAATTGGTGGATCTGTCAGAAATTTGTGACGGGATCACAAATTCCGTCACAAATTTAAAATACTTTTTCTAAAAAATTATTTTTTTATAAAAAAATTATCATATAAAAAAATCATCCAACCCCTTACCAAGTGCACCAACCAAAAAAATATGTTTCCCGCAATAACTCTCATATATTGAATTACAATGTCACAAGCAACAACATGAAGGCGGACAAGCTGGATTGAGTAGTCATATTTGTTTGAGTAGTTGAAATCAAATATCTAAACTAGATTGGAGAGATGGAGTTGACGAGCTATATAAGCCAGATTAAATGTCTAAATAATCAAATTAAAATTTTCAAAAATTAATTAAAATTAAAATAGATTGTAATAAAATGTAATTTCAATAAGTATTATCTAAATTATTTTTGTTGAAAAAAATGAGATAATAAGAAGAGAAGAAATAAGAAAAAAGAAATTACAGAAAAATGAGTTTAGAAAGGTTTAAATAGAAAAAAGGTGTAAAATAAGTATGTTTCAATGGAGGGAGATTGGAGGAAATGAGCGGGTAAGTAAAAAACCTCTAAATTTTGTGACAGAATATGTGAACCCGTCACAAATTTTATGTTTCAATGGAGGGAAATTGGAGGATATGAGCGGGTAATTAAAAAAATACTAAATTTTGTGAGGAACATGTGGACCCGTCACAAATTTTATGTTTCAATGGATGGAAATTGGAGGAAATGAGAGGTAATTAAAAAAACTCTAAATTTTGTGACGGAACATATGAACTCGTCACAAATTTTATGTTTCAATGGAGGGAAATTGGAAGTAATGAGAGGATAATTAAAAAAACTCTAAATTTTGTGACAGAACATGTGGATCCGTCACAAATTTTGATGGTCCACATATTCTGTCACAAAATTGAAAACACTTTTAAAATTATCACATAAAATAAAAATAGAATAATAATAATTTTGTTTCTTTTGTAATCTATTCGGGTAGTTATATTGTGCATAATTTTAAAGAAAAGTAAAAAATATAATTTTAATTTTAATTTTTTTTAAAAAAAATAAGGTAGTCGTCTCTAAAACCTCTCTCTAAATCCTAAGGAAGGAAAAGTGCACTAACCTTGTTGTCTTTTCATTTATGAGCAAATAAAAGTATTGAACCATTATAGTTCAACAAAACATAAGAGTATTCGGACATGACATTATCTTCGGGCATTAACCTCTGCATTATTCAACAAAGGTCATCGTAGCATGCATTAGGAATATGATATTGTGCTTTTCAGTGTATTCATTCGGAAACCATTGATAACTTGGACTCATTGCTACTGGGTCATATATGTTCATAAGAAGCACCAAATCTATCGTAAAACATTTGCATCGAACCAATTGGTGGTTGATCATCTTCTGACATATATGCATTTAATTCAGGACCACCAATATCTACTTCATGGGAATCATGATTGTTACCTCATGGATGCATACTTTGATATTAGAGTACTAGATCTCGTCAGATGGTTATAGTAACCAGTTAGAGAAAAACGTGGCTCTCCATAATGCACCCAATTGTAATAATATGGAACAAGCCATGGTGATCACATGAACTTTAATCATTTATGGATCTAAAAAACTTTTATTTATGCATTTAGGTCGATTATATGGACACCTAATATTTTCTCGATCCATAAATCTAGTCTTACTTAATGCAAATGTGATGAACTCCAACAGTGGCCGCTCGAAATCAGGATTAATAATGTGACCATTTATTAGCCTATCAATATTGTACATGATCGATCCATACTGAATACTAAAACATGTTTCTATGTATTATTAAATTGAGATACTTAAATTAGTAAAATTTTAAATAATAATTTTTAAATTTTTAATTTAAATTTTTTAATTTTTCTAAAAAATCAAGATTTATGGTATTATTATTATAAATTACATGCAAAAAATTTTAATTAACGTTTTTATTTATACGCAAAAAACATTATTAAACTATGTTACATGCAAAAATATTTTCTTTACTTGTTGACATATTTTACACCTTTTTAATTAAAAGGATAATACTAATAAATTGATAGCATTATGTTTTAAAAATAAATTTAAACTTACCTCAGCTCACAAATAATAAAATTTAAAATATTATTCTTCTTATAAATGTAAAAAATGATAATTATGTTATCAACATCATTAAAAAGAAGTTTATTAATTGATTAAAAACAACTTGCATTATTTTTTTTTTGAAAAGGAAGCTATTTGCATTATATATATTATCATTAATTATATGCAAAGCAATAACCTTAGAGGAAAAATTTTATTTTATTTTTATAAGAAGATGATTGAGTATGCTATATATAATTCATGAAATTAGATAGCTAAATCATGTAGACAAACAACATTTTACAATCAAAAATTACAATATAAAATAAAAAAGATAAATGCATATAAATAAAAAAAAGTAAAGAAATGCATATAAATGGTAATTGTTTACAGGTGGTGATAATATTTTTTTATTTCCGACGGAATGATTTTTCCATCACAAATTAAATTAGTATATTTTTATTAAAGTGAGAAAAATTCCGACGGAATCATTGTTCCGTCATAAATTAAATTGATATTTTTTTATTGAAATGAACAAACTTTTTGACGGAAAAAATAATTTGGTCAAAAACTACATTTAGGTCACAACTTTGTGACAGAATAATTTATTTTCATTGATAAATTGTGATAGATTTTAAATTCGTCGGTAATTTGAAATTTTTTTGTAGTGATTCCTGAATCTTGGTCTGCTAGAGTTTCCCGTTCTTTTTTCTTCCTCTTAGTTTATTCTTTTCATCTACCACTGTATTAGTTCAAAACGTTTCCAGAATAGAGGAAAAATGGTAGATAACCATGGTCCATGACCAATCCTGTAACATCTTATTATGCAAAGATAACTTCATGTGTTTCCAGTTCACCATTGTCTGAAAGGGCAAACAATGCTTTCCCTTGTTTTCGCTTTAGATTTCTTAAAGTAATTACTGTCCTTAAGTGCTAATACGGCTAACCCTTTTTGTTCCGATTCAAAACAGTTGAAAGTTATGCATAAACTTACTTCCTTTTCCATGCCTGGTAAGATTTTACAGTTGTTTGTTGAAAATTTTAGCCTTATAATTGTCTTTTTGTCCAATCCAAAGTTAGCAGATACGTAAACTAAAGCTTTCCCTCCAAATGTTATGCGGTCTGGTGCGTCTTTGTACTATATAGCTTTATCAAATTAGTCCTTCAATTATAAAAATGATCAATTTAGTTGTTTCAGGTTTAACTTTGAAGTAAAGAAAAATTTTCAATAGGCCCAAGGAGCCATTTAATATATGCATTAAAGGAGGAGAAACAAGGTTGGTTCAAATGCTAAATAGCTTGATATCGCTTAAGCAAGATCTTAAGTTTGAGTCATTGTATATGCATAAAATCCCTGCCGAGAGACTTGCCCACCAAAATTAGATGTGCGACACGAGTCGATCCGAATTAGTCAATACGAAATCTTGAAAAGATAGGGGAAAAAAGTTTACAAACAGAAATAGTTGTGAGGTTTTACCTAAACAACAAGAAACGTCACTGTTATCACGCGATTCGACCGAAAGTTTGCCCCACTTTCACTTCTCGACATATTTTTTCAATTTCAAACAGTGAAAAGGTAGAGAAGGAAACAAAATATTT